TTTAGGTTTTCTCCTGTAGTAACACTGGATCAATAAGAGATGATCCTTACTGGACCTCTAGGAAGAACAGTTTAGAACTGATAGAGCTATCCAGTGTAAATAAAATTAGTTTAGTTTAGGTTTCCTCCTGTAGTAACACTGGATCAATAAGAGATGATCCTTACTGGACCTCTAGGAAGAACAGTTTAGAACTGATAGAGCTATCCAGTATAAATAAAGTTAGTTTAGTTTAGGTTTCCTCCTGTAGTAACACTGGATCAATAAGAGATGATCCTTACTGGACCTCTAGGAAGAACAGTTTAGAACTGATAGAGCTATCCAGTGTAAATAAAGTTAATTTAGTTTAGGTTTCCTCCTGTAGTAACACTGGATCAATAAGAGATGATCCTTACTGGACCTCTAGGAAGAACAGTTTAGAACTGATAGAGCTATCCAGTATAAATAAAGTTAGTTTACACTCTAAATGAATGGTATAGGCGTACAGTACCTTGCTACTCGTACTATCAGAATCAATACAGAAGAAGCCAACTCGCTCAAATTGATATTTACTCAGAACAGCGGCATCTTTCACTGTGATGTCGACTAATGCGTTTGGAATAACTTGCAGAGAATCCTGAAAAAAACTTTTTGTTAATCTAGAGCTTGAAATGTCCCCGTCACATGAATGCGTGACTGCTATAACTCTCATGAACTTATTGAACTCTCACCCTCGTTGACCGGCGCTTAAAAACTTATGTTGGAAATTTTCTCAACAAAAACATTGTTTTGCCTATTTGCCAACCTTCGGGAAACGAGGACAGGAAACTATTCATTCGTACGGGGATTTTATTTAATATTTCAAATCCTGCCTCCTCCGCAGGCCCTCGTTGCTTCATGGGAAGGTCACGATCTGGCGAGGGCCTGCGGAATCTTGTAAAAAAAATGGCGCCGGCGTCACGTCAGCAAGTAAATTTCTACATAATCTTGAATATAAACAGATATAAAAAAGCGGCGTGAAACTTGTAAATTACACTGGCGACTCTTAGGACGTGGAAGGAAGCATTTTTTAACGATAAGGTTTGTTGTCCACACCAACGTTGCACGAATAAAACTGCCTTCTTTAACGAAGTAGGTTCAAAACAACATTCATTCATTTTACAAGATTCCGCAGGCCCTCTCGAAATCGTGACCTTCCCATGACACAACGAGGGCCTGCGGAGGAGGCAGTTTCAAATCCTCCAATTCGAACTGGACCAGATTTCAAGTCCGCGCAATTTGATCCAGTCCGAGGCGAAGCCGAGGACATCTCATACGAATAAATCAGTACTTAAAGTAAGGTGAATTAATTTTAATCCAGTCCAAGGACTGAATTAATTTTGAACTAGTCCTGGGACTAGGGATGAGCCGATTAATCGGTAAATAATCGGCAAAGCCGATTAATCGGCCGTTTTTTAAATAATCGGTAATCGGCCGATTATTGCCTGATAATCGGCAAATAATAATAATAATAATAATATCTGTTTATTGATCAATTGTTTTGCAGTAAAAACTGAATTATACAATTGTTTCTATGTTATGAACTAATTTGCATATTAACATTTTAACATATATAAATATAATATGAGCATGCAGTATAAATTCATATTTACATAATTACAATATATAAAGGACTAAACTTGGACAATTACATATATTTAATAGTGATAAAGTTATCGAAACGTTCAGTGAAGGTTCTCACAGTTGCACTATTATTTGGTCTACGTAAAAAGTAATCATGTTCGCCAAGTGATCGGGAGGGTCTAATTATGTTATAGACTGGATTGTTATTACAGGCTATCTTCCGGGTTGAGTTGATAAATCTCCTACATAACTCATCTCTTCGACATTCCAAAGTTTTGATTTTTGAGGACTGCAATGCTTCATAATAAGAAATGTCAGGGAATATAATCTTAAGTGCTCTCTTTTGGACCGATTCAAAAAGAGAGCACTTAAGATTATATTCCATAAGACTTTTTCTGCAGCTGCCAATCACATGCTAAAATACTGAATACAAGCGAATAGATTTTCACATTTTGTTGCCAAACCTGTGTCTTTTGTCTCAAGCGAAATGAAGCTGAGAACATTTCCACTAAAAAAACGCAGCAGACTAGTTCCGCATAGCTGACAGTGCCTTGTTTTTACACCATAATCTGCCAAAATTAAACTTTGACTATTGACATGAGAGACTGAAGCTGTTTTTAATTGTACAAAGTGTGTATTGTAAACAATAAAACCGCATTTACAACTTCATTGTTGGTCATCTTGTGATTTTTCCCTTGCTTTTTAAAATAATCGGTGGGTACCGATTAATCGGCCGATTAGTTACAATAATTGACTTATAAATAATCGGCCTCAGTAATCGGCAATTTTCCTTATCGGCTCATCCCTACCTAGGACTGGACCAATATACTTCAACAGGTATCATGTGAGCAAAATAAAGCAATATGGTTGGCTAATTTACTCATGAATTATTAATGAGTTTGAGATTTCATGATCATCTTCGTCTCTGTCATACCTTATTACAATCTGATAAAAATCCTCCCGGGACTACGTTAGGGTCCTCTGGAAATTTGTGTTTAAACCTTGAAATAAAAAATATATATGGATTAAAATACACATACAAGTACAAATATATATAATCAAACACGAAAAAAGTTTATTATGTTAATAAAGGATTTTGGCCATGTGCACTCGATATAGGTAATTGTAAATCTCACAAATAATTGTCAACAAGATGTGTTCGCAACAGACTTGTAGCAAGCTTGTCAACAAGTTGTAACAATGTTGTTATTTTATCAAGTTGCTACAAGGTTGTCACTCACAACTTGTTGGAACAACTCGTAACAAGTCGGTTGAGCTCAGAAACCTTGTAGCGAATTGTCAACAGCCATTGACAACAACTTGTCAACAAGCTGGGAACAAGCAGTTGGAACAGCATTGCTACAAGTCAACAAACCGTTACAAATGCCAGGATTTCAAATAAAACAACATAAAAGCAAATCTTAATATACGTACAATCGTTCATATATTCGTATTTCGCAAGATATCGGCGAGGACACCCAGTGAATGAAACCTTTTGGTTTTGCCGTTTTAGATACACTTTCGCATGTAGTTTTGAGTTCTGTCACGTTGCCTTGGGCGTCCTATGGAGAAAATAGAGGTTAAAACTGGATTACTGATCTGGATACAAAACTGGATGGAGTATCGATTGTTCCAAAATGATGCCGGAAGACCGCCATGACTAACTGGTAATCTTTCTGACGCAATTCATGGGAGAAAATTATTGCATACACGCGCAAAATTCTCACATCTTGTAGCAAGTCTGTCAACAAGCTGTCAACAAGTTGTGTTCGCACTGCTTGTCCCAAGTTGTCAACAAGTATGGAACAAGCTGTTAACAACTTGTAACAACCTTGTTGATATTATCAGACTTGTTGCAAGGTTGTTCCAACAAGTCCGATAAAGTCACAACATAACAATATTGTTACAACCTTGTGTCATCAACCTTGCACGCAACATTCTTGTTATATCATGACTGACTGTATCAGACTTGTTAGAACAACCTTGTGACAAGTCTGATAATGCCATCAAGCTTGTTACAAGTGGTTAACAGCTTGTTCCAAACTTGTTCCAACAACTGGGAACAAGCAGTGCGAACACAACTTGTCGACAGCTTGTGAACAGATTTGTAACAACTTGTTTGCAATCCTGTAACAATGTAATTACGGATGTTCTAATGAAATGTTCTAATCTGATGTTTCTAACTTTAATGTAAAATTCAAATTTACGTCCCCAGTACCTTGATAACTTCCTGTACCGAGATGACGTAACCCGCATGACGTAATCCAACACTTTGCTCTGGACTCAGTCTTTTGTAACCTTTCTCGTTCACCTTCGGCAAATTGTAAGACGGGAAATTAGAAAGAAAACATAAGTGCATGTGATAAGTTAGTTTAGAACAGCACGGAACTTCTTTCAACATCATACACTACCTCTTTGAAGTCGGAGCGGTCGATATACGTGACTCGATCGAAAGGAATTTGATGAGATCCCTTAGATTCGTCATGAGGGATATTTGGCACAGTTATCTGTATAGGCTGAAAGAGATATTGGGATTAATTAGAACTCACAGAGCTATTTTAGTTTAGGTTTCCTCCTGTAGTAACACTGCATCAATAAGAGATGATCCTTACTGGACCTCTAGGGAGAACAGTTTAGAACTGATAGAGTTATCCAGTATAAATAAAGTTAGTTTAGTTTAGGTTTCCTCCTGTAGTAACACTGGATCAATATAGAGATGATCCTTACTGGACCTCTAGGAAGAACAGTTTAGAACTGATAGAGTTATCCAGTATAAACAAAGTTAGTTTAGTTTAGGTTTCCTCCTGTAGTAACACTGGATCAATATAGAGATGATCCTTACTGGACCTCTAGGAAGAACAGTTTAGAACTGATAGAGTTATCCAGTATAAACAAAGTTAGTTTAGTTTAGGTTTCCTCCTGTAGTAACACTGGATCAATATAGAGATGATCCTTACTGGACCTCTAGGAAGAACAGTTTAGAACTGATAGAGCTATCCAGTATAAATAAAGTTTGTTTAGTTTAGATTTCCTCCTGTAGTAACCCTGGTTCAATAAGAGATTATCCTTACTGAACCTCTAGGAAGAACAGTTTAGAACTGATAGAGCTATCCAGTATAAATAAAGTTTGTTTAATTTAGATTTCCTCCTGTAGTAACACTGGATCAATAAGAGATAATCCTTACTGGATCTCTAGGAAGAACAGTTTAGAACTGGTATAGAACTAACCAGTATAAATAAGGTTAGTTTATTAAAGTACTAAATAATGTTGTTTTAGTTCAATAAACTATTCTTCTTACTTTGTCTGAAGGGAAATTTGTAATGGTCACTTTTATAGGATCGAACACAGCCATAACTCTGGAACGAAAATAAAATACCTCATCTTATCTTATCTTATCTTATCTTGTCTTATATCGAGCGGCAAGAAATGAACTTGTTTACTTAATTTCTAAAAAAATGGATTTTCTAAAAAATCTAAGTTTCTCCTTACCTTACAGCGGTATTATTTAGAACATCTCTTACACAAGATTCTAACATCTCTGGGTCTATGGTGACCTGAGCCATTGTTACACCGACCTTAAGCAAAATGAACAAAAATACAATACTACGTACATAAATATCAAGGCCTTTCAATCCAATCAAACGTGTTGACTCGACATCTAACATTGTTGAATGCAACCATAAGCAGCCCATGAAGCGTGTGCATATATAGGCGTGTGTATATACTGTTAAGAATACAAGTCGTATTTTACCTTTGAACAAAATGCATTGACCGCTTCAGGTGGAAATCCTCTTCGACGTAATGCGGTTAACGTGAACAATCTTGGGTCGTCCCAATCTCTGAAAGTTTATAGTTACCAAGTTATATAAGTCCTTTTTACATGAATACAGAGATGGATTTACTGGGGGTGCGGGGAGGGGGGGGGTGCGCCCTCCAAACCAGAGGAAGTGCAGGGGGTGTTATTTTTCATGATAAAGCAAAAAAGACAAAATGAGATACAGTAATTTGAGAACAACAATGGACCATTTGCATTATAGACTAAATTTTGATCTAGACAAAAATTTTATCACAGCTTGAAAAAGCATCACAAAATTAGTAATATTCCGACGTTTCGTTGCGAAATGTTGTAAAATGCGGATAATATAGCCTTGCGAAATTTGCAATTTTCAGTCATTTTGTATTACAAACGGGAAATTGATGCCCCAACGCCCGATTGGGCTGTCAATTTCCTGTGCGTAATACAAAATGACTGAAAAACGGCAAACTTCGCAAGGCTATATTATCCGCATTTTACAACATTTCGCAACGAAACTTTGGAATATTACTAATTTTGTGATGCTCTTTCAAGCTGTGATGAAATTTTTGTCTAGATCAAAATTTAGTCTATAATGCAAATGGTCAATTACAATTCAAATACAGTAGTTGATGGGCGGGCGGCATACATCACCGACACAACTCGGCAGTCGGCACCCCCTACCAGATCATGCTGGATCCATCCCTGCATGAATAAACGAACAAACAACATTCACTCACTTCACAATTCCTTCGTGTATCAATTTCGCGATTTTTCGTTTTGAAACAACAGAATAATTCATGTTTAATCTTCCATATTCCCACTGCACAGGGCAGTAAATATCCAGAGAGTTGTTCAACCAATAATACGCTGAGCGTCTAAAAAATAAAAGTAAATTTGAAGTTTGCTATTTCACAGCAACCAGGAATAATATCAGACTGGTTTTCCTTCGCTGCTGTGGTTCAAAATCCGACTCCGGTCAAGCGGGAAGGCCTGGGACTAGGCTATGTTTACCTGTTTTGAAATTCTTTGGTGCATAAAGAATGCGTTATATTTTCAATCGAGTCACAAATACAGTGAGTGAAGTCGTATGTGGGATAAATACACCTAGAGAAAATAGACAATGTTAGGTTTTCCCGTGTCCTGTAGTAATATTTCTCTTGCCAAACAGACAATGGGCTTACCACTTATCACCAGACTGCGGATGAGGTGTAAACTTCATACGATATGCGACTGGGTCGATCTTTCCATCATCCATTGTGAATTTCATACGAAGCGTCGCCTGTCAAGAAAGAAAATTGTTACCATTTTCATCCCAAATGTGGTAGGAATATGGTAGGAATTTCCGCACGCAACAAAAAAGTATACAAAATTTGCGAACTTTGCAACGCTATATTTTCCGCATTTTACAACATTTCGCAACCAAACTTTGTAATTTTACTAATTTTAGTTTGCTCTTTCTAGCTGTGGTGATTTATTTGCATCTCCTTGCCTAGTTTTAAAATTAGTCAATAAATCAATCAATAAATTATCTGATCGATAAAACATCTAATCAATCAAATATCCAATTAATTAAATACATTATTAATTAATTATTATATTATACTATATTATTAATTACATTATATAATTAATTATATTATTATATTATATTATATTACTAATTAATTATAAATACTAATTATTAATTATTATTAATTAATTACTTGATTATATTATGGAATATTATTAATATCGGTAACCAATCAATACAATCATCCATTCAATAAATTAATTTACCAATCAATTCAATCAATCAATCTTGAAATTAAAATTAATCTATTGTATTATTCAATCAATCGATTATTGAATCAATCAAATATAAAAAATAAGCCATCTTGAATATCAGTGATACCACTATAACCACAATGCAAAGCGCTACGAAAACATAATACGGGGAATCTAGTATTCAGACAACGTGAAAAGCGAGTTTTAAAAGTTGTATCTGTAAATTTACCATTATACAAACAACTACAATACTAAAAAGTCGCATGTTTTAAAAGTTGTAACTGTAAATTTACCATTATACAAACAACTACAATACTAAAACATCGCATGGCGGGAAAATGGGTCGTGAGAAAGGCTAATTGTTCATCGTTAGACGCAAACAACGGTATACCTCTCCCTCGTCAATCTTGCCATTCTTCATGTCTTCAAAGAGACGAAGCGATTCCTCTATCGGTCGATCTCTCCAGGGACTGGGCGGAGGATTGTGACCCTTTATCTCTTCGTATTGTTGATGACACACATAAGCTTTGTTTCTGAAGTAATAAAAACATTTAACCAACAAACACGAGCTTGCCCACTTCACAGAAAGGAAGAAAATATTTTTTCTTTAAATTTTATTTAGGCGTAAAACAAAAACACCTGTGGTTCCGGTTTCATGTCGCGAAAAAGTTAGGGTCGGTAGGTCGGAAATAATTTTTTTTTGAATATTTTTTTCATGGTTTTTTCAATAATTAGTGTGACAACAGACGCCATTTTGGCAGCAGCCCGCAACCACCCGGAGAAAATAGGGTCGCACGGTCAATCGCGTTGAAAAAATAATAGGGTCGGTAGAAAAAAATAGGGTCGGTTGGGAACCGGAACCACAGGTAGTTTTTTTACGCCTTATACTGGATAGCTTTATCAGTTCTAATTAATATATATATAGTTCTCTTTGTATATTTGTTTCAAAATGTTATTCTTGTCCAATACTGTAGATTTTACCGTGTTTGAATAAAGGTTTTGATTGATTGATTGATCTTACCTCTTGATCAATTCAACGGCGAAATCATAAAGTTTGTCGAAATTATCTGACGCATGCGTGATCTTGTACGGCTTGAAACCTTTAAATAAAGCAAATATATTATCAGACCCACAGGGACAGATCCCAGTGTTGGATTAACCCATATACGTCATGATATAACTTATACCGAGCCAAGCAACATCCTCTTGGATTCCTCGGAAAAATCTCTCTTCTTCTTTCTCTGGGTTCGTGTCGTCATAACGAAGGTAGCATATCCCACCATGAGCCTAAAAATACACTCTTTTCTGTAAAGGTCTGTTTCAAATGTCGCTTCTCGTGTACCAAACGCCTTAAAAACAAGGTTGTTCTAACAAGTCTGATACAGTCGTGATATAACAAGAATGTTACAAGATTCACAAAATACGATTGTAACAACATTGTTATATCATGACTGTATCGGACTTGTTGGAACAACCTTGCTACAAGTCTGATAATATCAACAAGATTGTTAAAAGCTGTTAACAACTTGTAACAAGCTTGATGGCATTATCAGACTTGTTACAAGGTTGTTCTAGCAAGTCTGCTACAGTCATGATATAACAAGAATGTTACAAGATTGACAACATACGATTGTAACAAGATTGTTATATCATGACTGTATCGGACGTGTTGGAACAACCTTGCTACAAGTCTGATAATATCAACAAGATTGTTACAAGCTGTTTAAACAACTTGTACAACATTGTTATATCATGACTGTATCAGACTTGTTGGAACAACCTCGCTACAAGTCTGATAATATCAACAAGATTGATTTTTTCTGTGTTGGTGTAATGTACTAAGGTGAATATGATGCTTGTGATGTTACTCTGAGTGTACAACTGTTTATGTGTGTAGCTAGGCGACTGTCGTATACTAAACTAAACTAAACTAAAACTAAAACTAAACTAAACCATATACCTTAGCATATCCAAAATTGAAGTTAATTGCCTTCGCATGCCCAATATGAAGAATTCCGTTCGGCTCTGGAGGAAACCGCGTCACAACCTAGGGATAAAAACCATTTATAAACCTAATATTTATCGCCAATTTGAAGCGAGGTTTGTGCCATGTGTCAAAACCTCAATTCCAAACGTAACGTAAAAGACATAAATAAGAAATTAAATGATTCTACCTTCCCTCCCGTTTGCTTCAAATGTTCTTTTAATAGCTCCATCGTTTTTGGCGTCACAACGTAACCAGGCGTTAGATAATTTTCACCTATAGTTAACAATATTATTTTTGTAATGGACCTATTCCCGGACACAACAGCCGTTTGGTTGGAAGTTTTTCAATAAAATTGTTAAAACAAAAGAGAAAGAATGATTTGTACCTGGCTGATGAAATTTGGCAGCTTCTCCACCCAAATCTGCCAATGATACCTCTTCAGTTTTAGTTTCTACATGCAGAAGAAAAAAACTTTATCACAATCAGCAAACCATCTTGTAGAATACTACCTACACTGAATCGCCAAGTTGGAAATATTATTACCTTTGTTAGCAGGCTTTGCTTTGTTTTTGGCGGTTGAGCCTTCACTGCCAGACTTTGATGAAGGAGCCTGTCAAAATATCATAAATTTTCAGGTATCCGGTCGTTTCGCCCCCAAGTCGTTTCGCCCCCAGACGTTTCGCCCCCAAGTCGTTTCGCCCCAAGTCGTTTCGCCCCCAAGTTAGCTAGTGAATTTAATATCTCTTACAAACTCTAACAAACTAGCCCATATTTGCGAGTATTGTGGACATATGGATCAAACGGCAAACGCGCAAAAATCAAAAACCTATTCACTATTACAGTGTAAGGTGACAGAATTACTGACAAAACGTAACATTTCAAACGAAAACAAATTAAAAGCGCGAAAAGGTTTGACAAAGTCTGTATTAATCAACGCGGTGATTAGTTTTTAAGAATATGAAAGATAATAATTTAAAAATGAAAGAATATCAAATTATAAATAGAAAAATGACTCAGTCCCGGTATTATACTCATCCTTCAAGTATGTATGGAATGAAACAGATAATATAAAATGTTTGAAACGTAAACATGAAAAAAATCACACGCGTAACGGTAGCTTGCAAATAGTTACTCAGTGACAATGACAACATTTATATGTCTGTGTATTCTTGACTATATTTTTAATATATCCATCATTTGAAGTTCTTTGGCAACAAAACATTGAGACGAATCGACTTAGCCTCTTGGGGGCGAAATGACTTGGGGCGATTCGACCCGGGGGCAAAACGACTTGTATTCAATTTTCAAATCAATGTACAAATGAAACCTCAAACACGGCTTAGACAGCTTAGTTTTTCACCTTTTCTGATTTCGGCTTCTTCATGTCGTCTTCAGTTTTTGGTCCCAGCAAATCAAGGAGCTGAAAAATTAGAGTATCAGAAAAAAATGCATTATAATGGATTACTCCAGCCAGAGACTAAATTTTGATCTAGGCAAGAAGTACGAAATCCAACACCACAGCTAGAAAGAGCATCTTAGAATGAGTAAAACTGCAAAGATTGGTTGCTAAATGTTGTAACATGAAGCAAATATAGCCCTGTGAGGTTTGCAAATTTTGTATATATTTGTAATACGCGCGGGAAAAATAACCACTTTCAGCAAAAAAATGGTTATTTTTCCAGTGCGTAATGCAAATATATATATACAAAATTTGCAAACTTCACAGGGCTATATTTTCCTCATTTTACAACATTTCAATTTTACTCATTTTAAGATTTTAATGCTCAGGAAACAGTAAACCCTCAATGCCAAAAACAAAATATTCCTAAAATAATTTTCATATTATACTTTAATCCATAATTTACCTCCATGTCAAGTTCTGCTTTCAATGCTTTACCATCTGCCCATTTTAGTTCTGCTCTGGCTTTGGCTAAAACAATACCACAATATCACAACTGTTATAAACCTTTAAGGTTTGTGAAGGGGGGGGGGGAAGGGGTTGTTCTCATATCCACTTCAAAATTTTTCATTTTTTCCCATATTCCCCAAAAAGATTTCAACATGTTGCATTGTTCCTCAGCTTACATGTTGTGACCGCAGGGCTGCAAATTACCGTCGGACATCGGGCAATGTCCGACTAAATTTGGCAAATGTCCGAGCAAAAGTCATTTTGATCAGACATTGGTCCGATCACAAAAAAATTATACTTTTTTTGCTGTGACAAAATCCGATTGCAAATTCACTCAACGAAGCATTCTAGCATTTTACTTAACGTTGCGCCGGAATGGCTATATACATACATACTTGTCTCGTGATTTATATATATCTTGTGACGTATATATGTCCAATCAAAAGGTAGTGATGTTGGTTTTTGTCCAACCAAATTCAAGTTATGTCCGACCAAAATTAAAAGTGATCGGACAAATGTCCTGTGAAGTCAAATATTTATTTGCAGCCCTGTGACCGTGTTTTCTGCTTTGTTCCTGTGTAAATCCTGTTGCAAAATATGTCCTGGCTTGTTCCCTAAAAACCCCTGAGAGTCACCCTTGAATTTAGTCACCATTACAAAGATATCACGGTCAATACTCCCATACCCATAATCATGCCAGTGTTAAATTTGTATCTTTTCTTTAAAATTTCATCTTTGTTGACAGCAACAAGCTTCTCAATCTGTCGACATGAAAAAAGAACCAAACAGTAAATGAATGGACCTCTAACTAACTTTCAAATAACCAAATGAATATGTTCAAGGACTGTTGCATTTAACGGTTAACCTATAAATGGGTCTGAGTCTGACTGACAGACTAATACTTACACATTCTTCAATTTGATCAGGCGTAATTTTAACACCAACACCGCAAGCATTTTCAAATTCCTTCACTTCAACAGGGTCCACTGGTTTGGCCTTCAAATACTCCATTGCAGCTGAAAGAACAATTGATAATCATAATCATGTAGGGTCGGGAACCCAAGTATTTTTCTCTTTGGCCTTACCTGTAAGCTGAGCTTGAGATGCAATTTTTCCAGAGTAAATGTAGTCAACCATCATGTTCAATCTTTCTGGCGTCTTCACATTTCCCGTTGCAAACGAGTAGAGTAACATTCCGACCGATTTATCAATCTGAGAATCATCGCTCTTCTTTTTTGCCTATGGGGTAAACAATTAATTTGGTCATGTTTCGCTCGCTACTCTGGTTTAAATAAATGATTACAAAGCCCAGTCGAATTGTAATCAAGACCCAACGTTTCGACACTCCAGTCTAGTGTCTTCATCAGGGGTGATCTGAAACTGCGATCGAGGCTTCTTAAATACCCAAGGTGACTGCGATAAAGAGTATTTGGGTCAGTCTATACCATGCGGTGACTGCGATAAAGAGTATTTGGGTCAGTCTAAACGCCAGTTTGGTACACGGCTAAAAGAACATCAAAAGGCTGTTTCAACT